TAACAAAAGCTCGACCGAGAAGAATTTTTGTCTTCAAACTTGATTGATCGATCGTAGGATGGAATGAGGATTGGAATAAAGTGTTGAAATTACTTTTTCCCAAATCCATTGTTGAATAACCAGTGGCCAACAAGTCATTGTCATTGTGAAGCGTGAACTGAGTAAAATGAAACAACGACGACAAAATTTGACGTCATCAATTTTGAACAGTTCTTTTTTCGCTATAACTTTACCAAAAAAGAGGAAACAATCTCAAATTTGGTATGTGGATAGAAGGCGGTAGGGACTATCACATATTTTCCGTTTTTTCGAAATTCAAAAAAAAACTTTTTGGATGTTTTGCCTATTATATTTAAAAAAATACTTTTTTGATTTGGGGGGCTCAAATCTAAAAATCTAAAAAATCCGAAATAGCAGTTTTGTAGCCCTCTAATTCGACACCTTTTATACCTACATTTTCTGTATATATAAAGCTGTAGGCCTGACAGCTCTTCCCGCGAAACCTTTTTTGGGTCGAAAATGGCAGAAATGACGTCACTCCGACGTCATTAGCGGCCAACCTATCGTAACCTTTGGAAAAAATTTGGTCACAATGTGTAATAGCTACGATCCCGGGAGGGTACTGAAAGTTTGGTGGCAATCGGCGTAGCGGAGTTCTGGAGATATATCGAAAAAAACTAAGGGGGGACAAAAAATGCCCCCCTCCACCACCCGGAAGGTTAAAACGTTTGTCATTCACATATATACGCAAGTTATTGCATTAACAAGCCTCACGAAGTGTAGTCAACATACTGCCCGAGTAAACATCTTGCCCGTGAGAAGAAAGGTGGGTGGTATGCATACTACCCGGGAGGTATGCATACTGCCCGGACGGTATGCATACTGCCCAAGGGGTCGGGTAGTATGCATACTACCCGGGCGGTATGCATACTGCCCGGGCTGTTGGGTAGTATGCATACTGCCCGGGCAGTTTGCATACTGCCCAAGTTAGCATATGACCCGTAACATATATATGTGGAGTAGAGTGAATTAAATTATACACTCTGGTTGAATTATCCAAGTTCGTGTTGTGTGTTGACGTGACCGTTGACGCCAAATCCTTGTTTGTCAAACTAGCATGCCTTGTTTACCACATCTCGAAGCGATTGCATCATTGTCACTTGCTACATTTCCGTGACCGCGTGTTTTGGTGTTATCTGAGCAAATAAAGACATTTTAACGTTCTCGTAAAGGCATAACTTTCCGAATCCATAAGAATATAGGTGTAAGCTGCAATTATCTTTTCACGAGACCTTAACATTAGCAACGAAGGCTCTGTCTTTGCATTGGTACTCACGCAGCGTGTCACGCTGCCTATTTGTTTTTCTGTCGTTTATATTGGAAAAATAGACCACCGTACATATTTATTTTCGCTCACGTTGTAAATAGCGCAGCCTTATAAGGCTGCGCTATTTACAACTATAGTCAAAACTAAAGTCAAATATAGTCAACTATAGTCAACTAGTCTTTGACTATAGCCAAAGACGTACCCACCAGACAGGTAGACCTCTGCGTGTTGTTTGATACCAGCGCAGCTGTGTGCCCCGATCCAGCAGGAATCACTTTACGTACCTTTTCTTAGACTCCTTTTTTAGGTACGCTGGGTACCTTCGGTCTCATTTGACCATCATACAGAGCCGCAAGGATGACAGGAATTAGGGAGAGACATTGGTCTGGGCGGTCACCCTGGTGCGCCGCCGGGGCTGAACCCGTCTCAAGGGTCAGCAGGTCGCCCAGCCTCACAAAGGATCACCCCACCGCATGTGCGCCTGCTCCTGGGATAGAGCTACTCACGTCGGATGTGACCGTATGGGCCAGAGAGCAGGGTTTTTGAGTGTTGAGGAGGCGGATTTGTGCGTACTGAGAGTAGATCAGAGGCATCAGAGAGAAAAAAAATGTGTGGCCATCAGCGCAGCCTGATCACGCGAGGCCCCCATGTGCTACCAGCGACATCTATGCAGTATGTAGTTAGATGGCCCTCAGCGTAAGCGCAGCAGCGCCGTCGGAGCACCGTCAGAAAACCCCGGGCCCTCAGTGTGCTACTAGCGACATCTATGGGGTATCCAATTCCAGCCGGCCCTCAGCGTAACAACGCCGTCTGCTTACGAGAGCGAAACAGCCGGCCTTTAGTAAGCTACTGTGAAATAACTGGAAGTATTCACCTGCCAAAAATCATTCAACTGTGTCCATTATAGGCGATAATCTAATTTTATCCAGTTTCATACTGACCACCCGTTACCACGGTGCGGTGTCCGATGACTCGATGACCATTGACCATGGTAGGTAAAGACGGTCCTGTATGCAATGGTGCCAGTCAAATGTTAAAACCTGCATGTAAACAGGACGCCCAAAGCCATAGATAACATGATTCATGTCATCTATGCTAAAGCAAATTGCACAGCTAATGTTTCCGTAAATATTGCATTGCAACATCGCAACATTCTAGCGCTCTAAAGATAAACCGTTGATCTAAGGTCAGATCTGACAAATGCTTGGGAGCTACTTGTAAAAGAGCCCTGGAATATCTTCTCGCGACGCTGTAGCTCTACAATCTACGTATTGCAGCCTATGAGATATGAAAGAATTTATTAGATAGGCAAAAGGGGAATCTCGACTTCTGACGATCTCTGGTCATCTGACCTTTTGCCTGACGTTTTAACCACAATTTATGCACTCATTCTTGGTGATTTTGACGCTGTTTCGGAAGCCGTTTACCGTTTGACTATGTACGTGACCTATAAATTGGAGCTCAACAACAGACGACGGTCGAAACATCCTTTCGCCATTCTTATTTACTTACTTATTATATGACTGTATCCCTTATTCACTGTATGACTCACTTTGACTTTGATCCTGTTTGATCAAATTTTTGGCTTTGATTTTGATCAAGTTTTGATCCTGTTTCATCTTATGTGCCTACCGATCTGCACTCTGCAGGTATACTTTTGGTTCTGTAAGACCGATATGGCGGGGAACTCATCTGCTTTCTCCCTTAGAAGCACGCGACTCTTTAAACCTTGGTTTTTAAATGATATAAGCAGCTACAGGCACATTGGAATGGTGGAAACAATAGCATACATAGTAAATCGAACTTGAAATGGACACTTACTTCGGCCCTAGGCACAGGCCACATTCCTTATAAATATATCCATGCTGATCTTATCTGAGAACTGACTCGGAAAGTGTGTAATGTATTTTAGAAAATGATGACATTTATACATTACGACCAGAGCATGCATTGACTTTCACAGCGCAAAGTTGATGTTGATTTCTCATATGCAGCCGATTGCAGTTCTTCCACCAACATTACGCATCATGGCATAATAATGATAGAGAATCGTTTATTGAAGGATAACATCATTATCGATTGATATGAAATGTGGGATTGATTAGACGTCCCAAGACCTGTAAATATTGGATCTGCAGCAGATGCGCTAGCCTCGACATGAAAGAGTTTAGGGTAAACTCAGTTGAGGCTTCAATGATATATCAAAAATCATAAAGATGTAACAGGCGACACAGAGCGAAAGACCTTGAGCGATTAACTACATGATTCAGTGCACTTTTTCCTTAGCACAACACCGAATTGAATTAACTATATAACATCAAGACATCGAAAAGAGGGTGCTAGCCGCACTACATCACAACAACGAAGAGATATTGAATGCCTACTACTTGGTTACCTGGGCTGCCCAGTTACTCATATTCATAAATAAATCAAGGTTGATATGTTCTGAAGTGCTCCAACGGAAAAAAATGTTATGAATGCACACAGCGAAATAGCTTAAGTACATAAGCATACAAGTATGTATTACGTGAATCACAGACCTCTTTATATAATGTACAGGGTGGGGCAGCATAATCGGGAATAAATATCAAACGGGATTATTTGGTCATGAATCTAAAAATATAGCTCCAAGCACTATTTTAGCAACATCCTATCAATCGGTCACCTTTTACCTATCCCTCATCCTATTTGACCGCCCTCGGCGTCGATGACCTTCTCAAGTCGGGTCCAAAAGCACGCGCATGCACGTGCAACCTCCTGCTTGTCCATGATCGCCCATCAGCTTCGTACCTTGCACTGAAGACTGTTTTTACTGATGATAAGTTGTTCATTAAACTTCTACCAAAAAACGCTCCATGTAAAGAATTTGGTCGGATTTAAATCGGCGGAGTTGAAGGACCAGAAGTTTTTGGTTCATCTCAGGTGGAGGTGCCCTACACAATAACATGTCGTCCTCACTGCAGTACCAGCCCGGACAGAGTCCTCGTAAGACGTGATTTGGACCGTCAGTGATCCTCTCTTCCGACGGCTCCACGTGAGTCTGCCAGAGTGCGGTTGTATTTACCAGAGGTGCTCATTTTATCCGGGCTCGATGAAGTAGGGTGCACCACGTGCACCTCCCTTGAAGACCACCCATAGGTCCATCACCCCAACAGGATGTTTACTTTGCATGACCGCTGGAATATTCTCGATACAATCCCCTATATGGCATGCCATTCTTTTTTATCGTATTCCAGTCGGTGATAAGATTTTTTGTCGCTGAAGTTTTGAACATTGTTTCTTTTTAATATGCTCAAGTGCTTCTTCCTTATATTCAAGTGAGTCATCTTGTATGTCCTCTGCTAAGAGTTATTTTACGACGATTACGTTAACCTGTTGTCCTAAGTATCCCCACACAATCCTTATCGTCCGTGATAACACGTTGACCTGCCCAGCAACCTTTACGTGGAATTGCAGGGTTTTAAACAAAATGTTCTTGTTTTACTTGTTTAACATTAGTGTCTATGGGCGCGCGCAAAGCACTTGGAGCACCGTCGAACTATTTTGCTGCTCTTTTCCAGGAAGTTGCATGCTCATGGATGTAGTCATGTCAGATGATGCACAACTTTTGGGCGTTTCATTGCCATAATATAATTTATAAAAATAATGCCATGCCTACTCATGATCAGAGCCCAAAAAGCATTCCCGATTATGCCGCCCCACCCTGTACGTGACTGTATGCAACCGGCACCGTGCAATAAATCAAAGTTGTTTAAAGATCACTTTACATAATAATGTGACTGAAACAAGTAACAGCTGCACTTTTGTTAAAAAATACAAATTATGATGATCGACTCCAAAGGAACATCTAGTAAAATAAAATCACTGGCATCGACATCCATCAGTAACTAGTTGTCCACTGTACGCATCAAGCCACATTCTGGGGCTGCATAGCATCGGGGAATAGCATGCGCGAGATGTTGGCCTTCTTGTGCTGCTGAGAGATGGGCGCCCCTCCTCCGGGTCGGCCCCAGAACTTCGAGAAACTCTCCAGATGCTGCACTGTCTCCTGCCAGTACTGTTCGCGGGCCCGCTGCGAAAGAGAGGGAGAGAGAGAGAGAGAGAGAGAGAGAGAGAGAGAGAGAGAGAGAGAGAGAGAGAGAGAGAGAGAGAGAGAGAGAGAGAGAGAGAGGGAGAGGGAGAGGGAGAGAGAGAGAGAGAGAGAGGGAGAGAGAGATGGAGGGAGAGAGAGAGATAGAGAGGGGGAAGAGAGAGAGGGGAAGAGAGGTTAGAGAAATACATAACTATGACACTATTTAGATTGTAGATAAAAGTACGGCAGTCGGTAGGAACTTTGTTATTCCTACAGAAACAAGCCACACCTAGAGACGCAGTCTATTTAAATTCAATCATTAGATAGAAATCATGCTTGGAATTCCAAATACTATTATTAAATGTGCGCCAACCATAATTAGCCAGGATTTTTTGCCAATTGAGTCAAGTATGCCAGTGATGCAGTGTCCATCAGCGTGACAAAATGTCCCAGTCTCGCCCCGGGATTATCTAGGACTGGCATGTGCGTGTGACCCCGAACTGCCAGAAAAGGGTATATACCACACGATCCTGACACAATTCCCTGACATACACACACGGTCCTGACACCATTCCCTGTCAATCCCGGCGGCGCGGCGATGCTCCGACCGGCGCCGAGCGGCGTATGTCGTGTTGGTCGTCCCGATTACCCGGTTACCCAGTGTCAGGTGGCACTGGAGCATCGATCAAACGTGCGGTGCCGAGCCGAGCTGGCCCCGTGGAACAGAACGGACCGTCCCACCCGGGGGACGCGCCGGTCGTGACCCCCTGTCCTTCCCCGAACCCGCCGGGGGGCTGAACACGTCATCAACCCGGTCAGACGCGCCACGAAGACCCGCCAAAGGGATTTCTATTCAGCGGTGGCCACAAAAGGGCTTTGATGTTGGTTTAATTGATATCGTCACAACCAAAGGCAGCCCTTCGGGCGTTTCCAGACCATCCTCGTGGCTCGTTCTCCCTTCTGCCTGCTGTTTCTCTTTCTATCTTTCTTGGTTTGCAAGTTTTTTTTTTCTAGTCTCTGGTTACTCACACTTTCAGCTTGACCTGGTTTACCCTCCATGCTTCTCCTAAAATGTCACTACCTGTTTCACCATTTGAGTTGCCGTTTGTTCTGAGTGTGCATCTGTTTCTCCCGCTGTTTCTCCTGGATCTGGCAGATGAAGTGACTCTGATCCACCTGTTTCTCCTGCTGTTTCTCCTGGATCTGCAGTTCTTACTGGCGGTGGCAGTAGTAGTGACTCTGACCCAGCTGTTTCTCCTGCTGTTTTTCCTGGATCTGGCGGTGGATGAAGTGACTCTAACCCACCTGTTTCTCCTGCTGTTTCTCCTGGATCTGGCGTTGGCAGTGACTCTAACCCACCTGTTTCTCCTGCTGTTTCTCCTGGATCTGCAGCTCCAGCTGACGGCGGTAGTGGCTCTGCTCCAGCGGCGGGTAGGTGATGCGTCCCTCCCTGTGTCGCGTCACGTCCGTATGGGGCAGCGGGTTGTACAGCAGCTCCGTGTCTGGCTGACGACGAGGTCGACCCGTGGCCAGCTGCTTCATCAGCGGGTACACAGAGATGCCCGACTGGGGGCAGACAGGGTGGGGAGGTGCGGAGGCGACGGTAGGGCATGGTGCTCGACAAGTGTTAAATTGCAGGCAGCTGCCGGACATTCGACATAAAATGTACACATTTTCGTGGCTAATGAAGATCGACGAAATAAAGTTATCGAGTGGATGAATGATGGTCATCTTATTGATGATTATTCCCTATTGACGACCGTTTTTGCAAATTTCAGGCCTATAACGACGAACAAATTTTTAGCATTTCTATCGTAATTGTCAAACGTGAAATAAATATTCCAAAAGCGACAAATCAACTGGAAACCTGCGACACATGCGACATTTCCGATAACATTTAAAAGAATGCACAACAATTGTACCCAAATGCGGCTTAGCCATGTAGACAAAAAAACATATCCCAGCATAAACCTAAACAAAACAATCATAATGACCGGTCAAAGCGGCGTTACCTCGTCCAGTCTGAACTGTCTCTCCTCCCTCGCGGCCCGCTTCCTCTCTGCCAGGATCTGCTTCAGGGCCTCTCGGTAGTGTTCAATCTCCTTCTTACGTCGACGCTGGTCGGCCGAGGTCGCCCAGCCCTGTACGGAGACGGAGGATCATCGTGAGGTCACTGAAACTTGCAGTTCTAAGGGAATGGTTAAAAAGTATGCAAAGTTTAGTATGCAAAAACATGCACAAATATACCATAAAGTATGCAATGTAGTACGTAAAGTATCAAGTATAGTAAGATAAGGCGACACCTAACTCCATCGCTTTTACGTCAGCCGTGGAAACTTTATGAAGGGAGTGGGTGAGGGGTTGCATATCCTGATGAGGACTAATATTAAAAAATTACGACGATATTGCTTGTGTGAGGCTGACCACCAGTCCTCAGCCGTGCTGCGCCATTCTGTAACCATATATTCCCAGAAATAGACGGGTGGCGTATCAGGTCTGCTACACGAGATTTAGGGTCAAAGTTAAAGTGCTGTTGCTGGTCGTCCGTTCAAGGTCATGTCCAAACACTTTAACACTCGGCCATCGGTGTCGGCGTTTCGACGATCGGCGTCACGAGACCACTCTAAAATGGCGGCTGGTCGAACCACATGCTGAGGCCTGTTTCACTAACAAATAAAACTTGTATTTACAAAGAAAAAGCTTGAGTTTACAAGAAATAATTACCAACATTTGAGATTTGGATTTCACGAAACCTTTGAATATGAATTTTGAGTTTAAAATTTGCAAACTTTTTTACAAGAAAAAGTTTGCAAGAAAACATGGGAATCGCAAACTTTCTGTTTCACGAAGACCAGAAACTTGAAAGAAAACATCGTAATTACAAATCTGAAATTCCAGTGGTCCTGACGTTCGGAATTTTGATACTTTTTGTGCAATAATGCAAAACAGTCATATATTTAGAACAACTATGCTTTGTTGAGTCGTTTCATGCTCAATTTTTACTTAGCACGCACCCTAAGATGCAAAATAATCGGTATTAAAATATCGTCAAATTTTGTCATTCGCGCGCCATAATTGCATTCAACAGTCTTCTGCTGTCAAATGTTTTGCGTGTTATTTTCTTACAATAATAGGACAATGTGAATTATCATTTATATCTTTTTCCAACAGCATCATTAAATATAATTTAATTAGGCAGCTTTTGACATGAATACTAGACAATATTTGATACAAAGAAGCAATATCTTTAACATGCTATAGTTCTTGATTAAAAACATTTTTACTGATTTTTACTGTTTACAAGTTTATTTGCAAACATTTTCTTATCGGAGGTGCCACTGGCGATGAAGCTTAGTGAAATCGGTTTTTACGTAGTTGGTAAAAATACTTATGAATTGTAAACTACAAACACTTGTAAATACAAGTTTTTAGTGAAACAGGCCTCAGATGTAATCATATTCAACACGATTCCTACAAATAAAACACTGGTGAAACGGGTGATTCAAGGTACGGGTCTCGCGGGTTTTAACGGTATAGTTTTTGCACTTAGAAAATTTAGTGTACTTCAGGCTATATCATCGTCGTCTTCAGCTTTTAAGTGTTGAAGATGCGATCGACTTGTTGGTTCACAAGCCGGCCACGATCGTGTAAAATGGCTTCATCGTAGATCGATTAGTTTCTGAGATATAACCGGAAATGTAAAAGTGCAAAACCTACCGCTTAATCTCGCGAGAGCCGTACATACCCCGCTCAGCATTCGAAATTATTAGATAAATAATTTTAATCGTTTTCTTTGCTTAAAATGAACAATGATCCAATCTTATTAGGGAGAGCTTTCTTTGAACGGAAAAAAAATGCTCAAAAAGAATTCCGAAAAGTTTTTAGGTAAAAAATGTAGTGTACCCCTCAGGGGTGTCGTTTTCCGAAAATGATTGGTAGGGCCCAAAGGCGGCGGCCGGGCATATGTGACGGGGATTACAAGGTAGGGTACCCCCAAATCTGTCTTTTTCATCGGATTTCGGCCACTTATTTTTTCGCCTTGGTCATTGACACGACAAACCAAAATCTAAAAAAAAAAATGCGAAGTCTGAGTCCTCACCGAGCCCCATGCACAAAACGTGCACTGTGCAGTTATACAGGCAATAGTGTCGGAGGGATATACGTCATTCTGAAAGAGGCCCACGCCGCCGGCTGTGCTGAAAGGGGCCAGGAACGGCTTTGATGGCCCGCCCCAAGCCGAATGAAAAAGACGGCTGCGGGGCCAGGAACGGCTTTGAAGACCCACGCCAATTGCAGGATTCGACAACTAACGAGGTCTCGAGACACCACGATAGTTGGAAAGACCTGCTTGCCAAATTAAAAGGATGACAGTACGAGCCGGCGTTCAGCAAGTTACATGCCCGACCATGAAGAAGCAGAGATACAGCATCGACTTATTAGAACAAAAAGTTCATTTATTCAAATAACCACCGTTAAGACGAACACATTTCGCGCAGCGCTTCGGGAGAGCCCTCAAGGTCTCCATAATCAAATGGGGTTTGGACCCATCCCACGTCCAAGTCGGCTGCTTTCGTCTCCCTGCAGTCAGCGAAGTTGCCACTGCTAATTTCCTTATGTTGGGGAAGAGGTGGCAACCAGAGAGTGCAGGGTGCGGAGAATAAAGAAGAAGCGCCAACAACTCAAAGCCACGTTTCATCGCTTCACTGATCGTCACCCCGCGCATGTACGCAGGACGCAGGGGCGTGATCGTGGATCAGGTGCACACTTTATGTCAGCTTTCCTATAGCCTCTCCTCGATGTATGATGTATATCAAATGGACGCACATCATCAATTGTGCGAATGTGCGCCCCTGTTTTAGAAAGTTGACAAGCAGAGCCCCGCAGGCATCCCAAAATGCAACCACTATTGCCTTGCCGACTAACTTCAACTCGTAGGGGAAGTTGGGGGAACGCCGAAGACTTTTTTTCTGACGCCCGTAGCACGCAAGGTATACAACATAAGCTATTCTTGTTGGCGTCATTCGAGAGGCCAGTCTTTTGCCTTTCAAACATACCAGGCGCATTTGATGAATTCGCATACCCTTAAGCGCACAAACTAAAAATATCAAAGAAGTGACTTTTTCGGCGTTGCCCCGGACTGCGGGGAAAGCCGAAAATGGGAGAAATGATCTACGGGGAATGCCGACATTGATGTTTTGCCATTTTATCTCAAACTTTATCCAGAATTGATCAAAGCTGACACGCGTTTTAAGAGCTTGAGGACGCGGTGCACACTGGAAGTTATAATTGTGTGATATAATAAGAACATGCCAGGTAAATCATTCCTTATAGGTAACAGGCCGTTGTGTCGGTTGAAAGTGTAATTTGTGTGACTAAAAATACGCGTTGCTATTCTACAGCAGTAAAGTCCACGTAGCGTGCTTTTAACACGTGCGTAATCGCACGTTTTCGGCATTACCCCAGCCTGCCATACTTTCATTTGCAGGCCCATAACTTTTCAACGTGCTGTATAAATTTCAAATAGGCAGCACACTTATGCAAAGACATGCTAAATATTACTTGACGGAATTGGCCAGACTAACGGTAGCATAATGAGTAAGAAATGCAGCTTCAAAGGCGCATGTAGTACAAGGGAAACGTACCTTGAAAACGCTCTTGGCGCCCTCACAGTCGAAGTATTCCGAATGACGACTCGTAACAAACATGCGATAATTGTAGTCACTTAAGCTTCAGAGCATCACTGACAGGTGGCATCCATGTCTTACGGTTTTCGAAATATCTCGAATTTCGGCTTTGCCCCAACTCCGGCATTGCCCCAACTTCCCCTAACACTCATTTGGTGGCCTTTACTCGGTGTGCTTCCATTTGCGCAACTCGGCACGGTGTCCTTTAGTGTCAACGTGTGACACCCACAATTCCTTTACGGTAACAAGTTGTTCTATGACATCTTCTAGATCTTCGATAAAGGGGCCAAAAACTCCGCGCTAAGCCTCCTTTCGAGCTAGCCTTTTCTTTGCAGAGTCAGCAAACGGGGGAAACATCTTGCAGAGATCTTAAACATACTAAGACGCTGATGAATTGCTTTGAGGAACCCGATAGACACCTCCGCTTCTACACTGCGTGCTTCTACATAGACAAGAGCATTTGTCATTTTCAACAAAAAGTGCTCATTTTCATATTTCCTTGAGTCATAGATAACATGATAGATTCCAGTGGCGTAGCCAAGGGGGGGGGGGACAGGGGGCACGTGCCCCTCCTATCGGGTCAAGGGGGACCTTCGGGTCCCTGCGGCGCCAATCGGCCGCTGAGGGTCCACGCTGGTCATATTTCGCCTCAAAGGGACCCCACAGGGCTCGCCAGAGTATCTCATGGACCCCTAAGTGGCGTATTAAGATCTCCGTAAGTGCCCCACGCCGGCTTCTTAGAGCCCTTGTCACCAGTTAGGGCCTTAAGAGGCCGCCAAGAGGCCCTCACCAGCCTGCCCTTCACGATCTCTGAGAATCTCTTGCTGGCTTCTGCCTTCTGAGGGCCCATCGGTGGCCTCTGAGGGCCCTTACTGGCCTATTATGAGCCGGCTCTACGAGCCGCATGCCCGCCTGTGATGGTCAACACCAATTCTCTTAGGGCCCCAATAACTGTGAGGATCCTCACCGGCGCCTCTGATAGCTCACGCCGGCGTTTCTGAGGCCCCTTCTCCCCCAATTCTGAGGGTCTTCATCAGAGGCTCCTAAGGCTCTACACCAGCGACTCTGACGGCTCCACTGAGTCCACACTGGTGACTCGGAGGGTCCCAATGGCTTCTGAGAATACTATTCCGGTCTAAAGGGACCCCTCGGCGCTCCTGAAGGCACCACCGACCTCTCGAGGTCCCCTTGTCGGCCTATGAAGGGCCCACACCAGCACTCAGCAGCTTAAGGGTCCCACGCATATCTGTGATGGCCATAAACCAGTGTATCTGAGGGCCCCGAAACGGCGCTTAAGAGGGCCCTCACCGGCGACTGTGCAGGTCCCACTCCGGCGCCTCTGAAAGCCCCACGCATGTGCATCTGACGGACACCCTCCGGTGACTTTGGCGTGGCCCACACCGGCAATTCTGAGGATCCCACCGGAGTCTGAGAGTACCGTGCCTTTCTCTAAGGACCCCACTGAACTTCTGAAGGTGCTGCCGGCCTCTGAGGACCCCTTGCCGTTCCCTAAGAACCCCCTGCCGGCTTGCGAAGGGTTCTCGTCAGCAGCTCCTACGGCCCACAGGCTACACACATCTGTGACGACTGTACATATATGCTTATTTTCTTATCGGTTTATTTTGATTTTTTACCAACTGATAAGTGACAAAAGATTGGTAGGGTTCAGCGAACATTGGTAGGGCCCAAATAAACATTGGTAGGGCTCGGGCCCTACCAGGCCTAGGCATACAAAACGACGCCCCTGGTACCCCTGCAACGTGACAGACTTGCAATAAACATGCAAACTACCTATGCATTTTTGATGAGGTGTCGACTGTCGAGGGCATAGACCACTTGATTGAAAAATATGATTTGATTTTATGATTCAATCGACTCCCGTCACCCACTCTGTGTTCGTTCCTCGTTCGATCAGTGGGGGCGAGTGCACTGCGTGCCTCTCTCGACTTTGTTCCGGTTCCGGCGCCGGTCTGAGGCCCTCGGACACGCGAGCTTCCGGAGCAGACGGTCGGGTCGGCGTCTGTCGGTGTTTTTCAGACCCTCCCGAGCTGGCGCCGCCGGCCTCTGAGGTCCCCCGGCGGTGCCTGGTCAGTTCAGGCCACCCGCCGGCGGCTCCAATCGAGCGCCGATGAGCGTCTCGACCGACGGACGGTCACGCACGCAGCTGCACGTGGTTGGAGCCACGGAGGTTATCGGCCGTGGCTGGGACCCCGGACGGACGATGAAGACGGCGTGTTGTGTAGGTTACGACGCAGCGGCCGCTGACATCAAACGTAGGCTTTTGATGATGGAATCTCGATTTACATAGAACAGGATAATAAATATGTCAAAGCTGCCAGTTGCAAGTGATAAGCAAATTGATATCTTAACTATAATATCATATTTCATTAAGCGTTTTGTTTCAATATAACTATGAATGTACATAGTATCATTCAGTATCATACATTGTTGGGTCGTCATGCTCTACAAAATATATCACAAATAAATATCCAGTGGTTTCTTGGGCTCAAAGATAAAGCGTGAGGGTTGATCAAAGCAACGGTGCGGAAACGTGACTGAAATTCGGGGAAAATTGGTCGCTTATAGATTGCAATTCGATTTTTGCAGTCGCAGCTCTGAACTCATTAATTTGTAATTAATCAGCCACACAATCACAGAGAAAATGGACAGCACTGGCGAATAAGAGTCAATCAAATCGCTCACCATTTTCTCAAAGAAGTCCTGTCCCTGAAGTCGGTTCTCCCTCCATGGCCGCCCACCGGGTCCGGCCTTTCCGAAGTCATCCAAGACGCTGCCGGAGGGCTCTGAAATGAACAGGGGTAGACAGAAGACAATAGAGGGCTCACTAAAAAAGAAGTTGGGTGATATCGCAATAATCAAGGCCGAGCACGTATCCAGTGGTAACTTGAATCTGTAAAATGCTGGATCAGCATGGTGAATGGTGATCGGTGAATGACATCATGATTATTCATTCGATATTCCTACAAATGTTGAGTGGTCAAAACATGAAATTCAACTGCAAACTGTGATCGATAAGTGCTCAACCTCCGTCCCCAAAACGCGTAGCTGAAGTTGCCTTGCCGGTTAGGCTACCCGGACGGCACCGCAGTATTGCGGCACAGCCTAACTAACCTCCGCGTTCAGCTGGCAGGATTCGCCACAGCATCTCCATACTAAGGTGCCTGCTTTTAAGTTTTCATTTGTGGTTGGTACGTTTAGAAGGCTCTTACAAACGTCAAACTCCTACTTGCGAATTGATTGCATGAACAATTAGAGCTGATCATTTTTTCAATTGTCTGGTTTTATGCCGAGGCCAAAATCACTCTTCCCCACATACTGATTCAGATTGATAACTATTTATCTGGAAATTTATCAAACACATCTGTTTAAAATAAAAGCACAGGTTTGCCAATAAAAAATAAAAGCCATTTCAACAAGGATACATTTTAAGATAATCAATCAAAAAAAGCAAAATAAATTTCCTTTATGTCACATTCCTTAATTTGATCGAACAAAAAGTTATTATAGCCTATATCACTGTACTACTGTTATCTGTGCCTATAGGTAATAAACTAAGCTAGACCGAATCAGGAGGATAGTTCACTTACCACCATGCACCGCCGCTGGCGTTGGCTGCTCCATGCCGCTTGTCGGACCTCCGGGGGGCCTCCGATGACCCGACCGCTGACCCGCCGTCTGCCCCTGAGCCGGACTGCCGACTGAGCCGCCTCAGGGCCCGCACTGGCTGTCACGGCACCCTCCCCCACCAGACGGGGGGCGGGGAGGGGGGGGGGCAGACACGCCAGGCGGTAGGTATACCGTCATTCGTCAGTTCCGACGAGACGGGGGGGAGGGGGGTGGAGTGAGGAGAGACGAACTGGGACAAGAAAAAGAGAGACGAAACGTCTTTTTCAAGGGTGTGTAAATATTAGAACTTAATTAACTCATATTATTCGAACAGCGAACATAGCGTAACTCATACGTATTGTTACAAGATCAACCCGCTCTGAGTAGGGGTGTTTAAGCACCCCCCTTCACCCCCCCCCCCACACACACACAGCATACCACCCTGCAGTTTTTGCAGATATATCAGGAGTTTCCCGGCTTTGTCATTGCAAAAGAACACAAAGCTTCACAGCTCCTCAGTGTATTCCAGCTTTCTGTGCATTTTTAACCCAATTATTTATTGAAAACAAGAGTTCTACCAAAAAAAGCTAAATTTGATTCATACGGGATCTTGCATAATTTACTTGTGATTCCACTGTTTCCGTTAGAAGTCAGTGTAAATCAAGTTGTTTGATTCGGTTTACGGTCAGTTGACTGCTTGTATGGCTGCGCCTTTTATCATTCCCAAGTATACGAAAATAAAGGTTTCCCATTCTTCTCTGTAGCGTTCGAAGTGTGTCTCCTGGCTTGTGGTCACCGTAGGAGAACGGTTCTCTGTAAAAGATGACAAAGAATCATATTTTCTATTTGTCAAAAACGAAGCCTCCGAATGAGTCCCAACATTGGTTTAAAGTAGGTAAGTGAAAAGGGCTGTTTTAAATAAAGTAATGCTAAATAAACTGATATTGATGCCTTCATCTTCTTATAATTGGACCTGTAGCATATTTTGAGTGTTAAAAAAATGATGCAAGTGATTTAGGCGAAGGGCTTTGAGACGTGGGATTCCTTATTTCACATAGCACGTGAATGGGCTATTACTTATAACGCTTTTTGCGCTGCGTGCAAGCTGTGCATCGCTGTGTATGAAGTTGTTCTGGGCGTTCTGGGATAAAAGGCTCCAAGTTGATTGATATACATCAATTATTCCACAATTTCTGAGCAAGAAATAACTATTTTCTACATATAATTCGTTGTATTAACATTAATTGATAAAGTAGCTCAAACGCGTAAGCACGACGATAGACATTCGACAATGGAAAAAGGCGAAGGAGGAAAAGAACGTAAGGTAGAGAGGAACTTTTTGCTACCCAAGAACTTTCACGAGAAGGTAATGGAACTGGGCGGCAAGGTCTTACAGGAAGATAAGTTTCTGGACACGTATTACGATACAAGTGACTTCAAGCTAACCCTAGCAAACTATTGGTTACGATCAAGATCAGATGTCTTTGAGCTCAAGTACCCAACGGGTGGAGCAGATAGCGACTACGCTAGCCAATATCAAGAGACAAAAGATGAGGAAACGATCATCAAACAGCTCTGTCATCTTCTAGATCTGAAGAAAGACAAAAATCCAAAGGTCAAGGAGCTAGCAACGCAAGATTTGGAGACCTTTGCATCCATTGAAACTATGCGGAAAGTGTACGAGCTCGATGGATGCAAGATATCCGTTGATATCGCGGATTTCGGTCTAGACTTGGGAGTCATATCTGTCCCCCAGGATAAGGATGAAACAATAATTCAAGCCACAGGCAAGATAAACGATCTAGCGAAGAAATTGGGCTGCACGTCTTTCGCTGATCTGGACATGAACAGCCTGGTGCAGGACAGTCTTCCACAGCTTTCGCTGCATGATTCACTCCTAGACGAGGCTACTGGGGGAGATGCTTCAGTTGATGACACGCCAAAGGAAGGTAAAAGCGTGGACGCTCATGAGTGACGTCATTTCAGCAGACGCGGATGAGAAGACATTAGCATCTACAACACTGTGTAGGACGTTTGCAGTTTGTAGCTGTTTTGACAATAGCCATATCGACAGCTTCACTGGTGAATGAGACAAGAAGAGGTCGTCTTCTAAAGATGCAGCTACTTATTGCTAAGATTTAGCAGAGCTTTGTCAATTCTCGAAAGTGTGTCGTGAGTGGAATCACATGCTTGATCAAATATATGTGTCAGTGTCAATAAAATATATGCATTGCAGCAAGTACCAACATTGTTCTGAGTTCTTACGCTAAAAATATATAATTCTTATGCCAAACATGTACGCATCATCTAGGTTAAAAGAAATCATATTGTTGAATGCCAGATACTTACATTACGAGGTTGAATCCCGAGACCCACGGATAAGTTTGTTTGAGTCTCATTAACATTGGCAGTGTTTACTCTGTCTCTATTTCGTCGCATGTTGCGTATTCGTCTCGAAAATCCTGCATGGGTAAAGACATATCGTCTGTCATGACACCACGTTACCACGAAAACGTTTTAATACCATAGGAGAAAAACAATATATATTGGTAGGTACTCATGCTCTTGCATATTGAGTGAAATTACAGTTGAGTCGAAAATGTCAAATTCCTTTTCTAGTTCCAGGTTCTCATAAATCTATGGATAGTTGACTATTCTTTTTTCTATAACAAATACATTCTTTTATTTATATGTTATTCGCTCCATACCAGTTTCGGTGAAGATGTCGGTTGAATTTCTGACAATCGTTCGGTCGTTGTCGTCTCGTTGGATGTCAGTGAGGGTGCGTCGATTGTCGGCCGATAGTTGTAACGTGGATCCGGTATCGTCTGTAGGTAAATAGGGCGGCTGCTCATCATACAGATCACTGAACACTTGTAAGATTAATATCATATTTCTTTGTAGATTATTTCAGCATTTCAAACTATAAATTAAGATGTCTGATTTCGCAGCTTGAAAGAAAATAGTCAAAGAATAAACGGCGTGTCAATAACGGAAATGAATATAGTGTCCCTTGAATAATATATTGAGCAGCCTTTTCACCTCCATCAGTAGGTACTGGGAAGTCCACTTAACCCCAAAATCTTGGTTTTGGCACATTGCATGACCCGTCATGTGCCAAGTCATAGATCGTTATCTATGGTCAAGTTTATTCGAGGTCAGATGAGGTCACTAGAAGTTCACTGTGACCTAAACGTCTTCCAAACAAAGTCATTTGAAAAGATAAAGTTTCCAAATGGTGTAAATTTAAGCCGAATTTTTGCGACTGACCCTAAGTGTGAGGTTACCCATGGCAATTCAACATCGGGTACCATTGGGTTCCTCTCGTGGACAGACACGCTCCTTTTCCGATAAGCTCTTAAGTGTCTAAAAACGTTGTTCAAAATGAGGACGAAAACCGACTCATTGATTTTGAGTAACTATCATCGAAGTCCGAGCCCGTGTCGCCGCTCAGTACCCACCGAAGCTGAGTCGGATCTCGACTCCGCGCGCCCTCGACTCCGAGTTGGTGGTGAGGACGCGGCTGCCCAGACTGCGGCGCTGCAGGCGGCTGGTCAGGTTGGCCGCGGTGCCGGGCGGCCCGTCCTCCGTCACCTGCGTCACGTTACGCTCCAGCTCCGTCACGTTGGTGACGCGCCGCTGTCGCTCAGCCTGCGTCACGTTGTTGGTCAGCGTGACGTCAATAACGGGATCTGTGCGGAGACGAGGGACGCAAGTTACTATGACGCAACAGCAAAACAATATCTTAAGAATTTATCGTCGCTAATGCCGTTTAGTACCTACCTTTGACTTAAAGTTTTAGACAACATACAATACGATTTATGCGAAAGAACGAAGCAACAGGTGTAGTCTCTCTTTGAAGTATCGCGTCTCGAAAGTATCGCTATCGCTCCCTGTTTGAGGGCGCCTGGCTTTTGAAGGTCGGCCGCCTTGCTGACCCATAATACCGTGAAAACGGTACGGAAACGGCCAGACGGCCAGTCTAAAAAGTCAGGGTCCTCAAAACAGGGAGCTGAAGTGATACTTTCAAGAGACTATACATTACCTATAGGCTATACAGGTATGTAACTGTAAGTATGTATTTGCGCGTCCATCTTACCTCGTCTACGATTGGCAAACTCTCTTCTAAAGAGTGCATTTGCACTTCCAGTTCTGTTCAGCGTCAAATTGAGCGGTGCTCTGCCTAGGGAAAGGAAATCATTGTCAAATGGTCGATATCTGATCTTGCAAAGGGTTTCCCACGTCTATTTTAACGAAGCACATGCCTCTAAAAGCTGTTCTAAAAATTGCCGATTGACAATTATTTCAAAGGACCAATCGATTATTCGAAAAGTAAGCCGAGGACACAAATTGGTAACGGGGAATCTCTGACCTCAAAACGACAGTCTAATCCCCGTCACCGTTCGATGTCTCTCGGACGACGAAGATTCTACGCCGTCCGGCCAATCCCGTTCAAGGTCGGCAGGGGCTTGGCTGCGGTTATGAAACGGGATTGGACGGACGACGTAGAATCTTCGTCGTCAGAGAGACATCGAACGCGGGGTAAGCACTGATTTTGCTCAAGCAGCAGTGCTATGACTGAGCTACGTTCCCGGTAAGCCATTTGACGGACGCAGACCAACCATGTCGCCGACTGGCGGCGCTCACGGGAGTCAGAGAAGAGCAGGTCACCGAAGGAGGGCGCCACCGCCGCGCTGCGCAGTCCCTGCTCCAGCTGTCGACTGTTGACGTTGAACGTTCCGCGGGGACGGCGAAACAGCTGCTCGTCTGCGCGTGTCTGAGGAAGGGTCTGCCGCAGCGAGCGGCCGGCGTTGCTCAAGCCTGCCGACCGCGGGTCAGACAGCAGCGGCCGCCGGGTCGGGGACGCTCTCAAACCGAGAGAAGATGTGAGCGGAGCTGATGTAAGTCGAGTTTTCGTCAGGGGAGGTGACGAAGAGGCAGGTGGCAGCGAGGTAGCTGGTGTTCGAGTGACTGATGTTGGCACTGCTGAGGGTACTAAAGGCTCAGTGATTGACGTGGCTGACGGCATCGCTGAAGCTGCTACGGCTGCTGATCCTGGAGTCGTGGGAGGTGCTGCTACAGGAGTGGGAGATGCTGGTGCAGGGGTGGGAGGCTCTGGTATTGGGGTGAGAGGTGTTGGCATAACAGTTGGAGGCGTTGGTACAGGATCAGGAGGTGCTGCCGCCGGGGTAGGAAGTGCAGCAACGCTGGCGAGCAGCAGCCACAACGGCACCATCACCAATTCCAGCGGAATCGGCAGCTTCATCGCGATGCGCACGGACCCCACGATGATAAGGTGGTCATTGGGACAGTCGCGGAGGTCTGGATCAGCTAAAAAGACGATGTAATTTACCAGAGTAGATAGCTGAGGCTCTTTCACCCTCAGACCGTCAGATCTTCAGCAAAACCAGCTGATATCACAGCGACTAGATCTGAATCATCAACACTATCACGAGCGACGAATGACAGCAACGCGACGCCGACTTAGTGTCTGCTGTGACATAGACAGCACCGGACGACGGTTACACTTGATTCCGTGCAGTACTTCTTAACAGCTCTATCACACCTTTTGAAGCTAATTCACAAACACTGCACACTGTGCACAGCTTCACACTAATTCACAGCCTTCCTTGCACTCCCCGCGATCTCACTCGGCTCAGCCGCACCGTTCGCTGCCCGCAGCTCCGCGCGCGCGCTGGCGCGCGTCCGCTTGACAGCCGCCCACGTGGCCCTCCTGACATCCATTGCCGCACCGGTTGCAGCGCGTGGGGGTGGATGACGGACGGGCGCGCTGACGGCGGGGTGACGGCCGGTCAACGAAGGACGTCACCGGGTGTCAGACTATCGTGGTGGACCGATGATCTGGGCCTGTTTCACGGCACGACGCTACAGCGCGATACGCCACGCTACGGTATTGGTGCGGCGTTTGAGCCGAATTCGCCTCAACGTTCCACTGTTGCGAGCGTCCGGGTTTGTTGATGTTTCCGTGGAAACCCAATACACCGATAAGCGTACCGCGCTGTAGTGTCGTGCCGTGGAATGGGCCCTGGGTACGGGCGAGCAACCACGCCGAGCTGGGCCGTCCACTCCGGGAGAGATCCAAGCGGTCAGTACGGACCGGACCCGGACGCGAGTTTACGATACCCGAAATTCTAGGTTCTGCTTGGTGTCTTTTGTCGATGAATGACGCTTAGAGAATGAAGTCACTCGCGTACTTGGCCGGACCAATGGCGCACCGCAGGCGCGTAAAGCCGATCCAAGGGTTTTCGATTTTAATTGTGCGGATTCCGAGGCATGATCGCGAAACGCTCGCGAATTCGGAAGCACCAGTCGGGGAATTGGAAACGAATTCTATGAGCAGTTGCTGATCAGCGTTCTACATAGTGTGCCTATCCTAACAAATATTGAAACATAACGCCCTCCCTTTCAACGCTCAGCACCAATACACGGAGTCGTTAAGTCAACCTATGAGTCGTGCGACGTGCACCGTCTACCGAATTCTTAACCCGCGAGTTGCTGGAGGGGGGGGGGGGGGGCGTTAAACGCCCCCACTTTTTCGCCTGGCAAATTTTGGGTACCTGTAGGGAATTGATTGAAGTGTATTGTGAGTTGACAAAGTTTCAAAAAAATCGGTGGAAATTTTTTTGAGATATCGAGGTTTTAGTGACGTCATGATTTCTGAGTTTTCGGCCAAAAACGCCATATGTTCAAAAAATCATATAAAATCACAGAATAGACATACAGGCATGCCGTAAACGCCATTAGACTGCCAATACCATGAACAATCAAATGGCTATCTTCGATTATTGATTATCGTTCCACATTTTCCAAAATCTTGAACTGAATCTTGGCAATTTCTCGTAACTACTTCACGACCATGATACATGAATTTCTTAAATTGAGCTTTTTTTAGCCAAACACGTACACATATAATAAAATGAATGTCACCATCGTGTTCTACGCCCCAAATTACCCATAAAACATGTGTCACAGGTTGCGAATATCAGTTTTTATTTTCGGGGATATGTGCCTACCCGGTTGACCTGACCTTGACCCTGACCTATGCTTTACTGACCCCTACATGGAGCTGACACTCTTGTAGGCCTTATATGATGGATTGTGCACCGTTTTGACAGAGTTTATGACGAGAGGCACCCATTGCGAAGTCCTGAAGTCCATGCTACTGAAAGCCCGATTTCAGGTGTTTGACCTGACCTTGACCCGACCTGTGACCTCAAAATTCAACTTTAAAGTACTCATCTGAAGCGTCTCGTCGCGTTCTTTCGTTTGCCGCCTCGTGCGTTTCGCTGCGCCTATTGGTTCTCGAGTTATCGGCTGGGGGCGTTTAACGCCCCCCCCCCCCCCCAGCAAACGGTGGGTGGCGAAATACCCCAGCAACTGCCGGGTTAACTGACTTCGAACACCTGCACTTATCGCTGATCGCTTGAAGCTGCTTGTACTCATCCCATAACAAATAACGTTTTTGTGTGAACAAGCAAACGTGGGTACTTCCTGAAAAGCATTGGCATCACCTACCCCCAAACAGCACTGGATCAGCACAGCAACAGCCCGCCATCTGTTGTAAGGCAGTCGTAGGCGGTCGAGTTCATCAGAGACTTATCAAAATTTAATCCAGTGACACAGTGCTGACAAGGCATTCCACCAGTGCGGCCGTTATTTCGCGAGGGAGTGATCGTGGCTGCCAACATGAGTGAGACAAAACGATCCGACGTGACGCATCTCGGCTGTATTTCTGACTTACGAGGCTTTATAAACATTACGATAACTTTATAAACTCCTGCTAACAATAATGGTGTTCTTATAACAGTTATAGCAGATCCATAACAAATCACATCCATAACACATCACAACAACCACACCACGACGAGAAGAATCGCGAAAACTGAGGCTTGTGCGTTACCAAATTGTGACTGTTTTTTCCATACATAAGCATATCCTTCAAAGGTGCTAGCTACTCTTACGTCTAATACCTACTAGCTAGGTTCGGTGCGTTAAAAAAGGTTCGTGAAGGACCAGCAACCGAAAGCTCCATTCAATTTACCAGGCGCAACGCTATTCAGCTCTAAATGAACAAACCTCTAAGGTGAATGATTTAGATAGTCCAAAAAGACGAGGCCCGAATGCGAAGAACGCCGGAGCATAGACGATCCTTCTACAAGTACACACAGCTAGGTAAGTAGGTACACATATCTTGCTCCACGAGAGTGCACTCGAGAGCTGGAAAAACAGTAGAACTCCTGTGCAATCTTGCCGCAGGTGGCGTGTGATGACTGATGGGTGTCCGCCAGTCCGACCATATAACGGCTGGTCCGTCAGGTCCGGTTCATCGCTCCTATAGCCTTGCCGTAGGTCGTGCAGTACCGCTGGCAGCGCTACTGGCCACCAGACGTCGGCCAGACTCAACACTTAGGTGCGATATTCTTCATCTCTGGCGGCGCATCCTCTGTGACATTTTGTGCAAGAACAGCTCCATTGCCAGTATGGTCAGACTGGTAACAATTCCCAGCAGCAGCAGACAGAAAACGGGCATTAGGTTATGGATAGATAACTCTGCAAAGCCTTTAGGTGGAGCACACATGCTGTAATCAGGCTTCCAAACAGAGTGTATGAGTCGCGACACTACGCCTGTTTGGTACAGCTTCAGCAGCACCTTGGTGATGGCCTTCTTGAAAGCGCTCCTTCCTTTTGGAATCGCCATGAAGAGTACGACTGGTTTGATCGGTGTAGTGTGCAGCGGGACATAGTTGCACGCCTCTTCACCGAAGAAGTGATAAAGGACGTCAAAATCACCGAAAATCATCAGTTTTGGTTCAAATGTTTGCAGATCGCCTTTTGCCACACTATCTAAAGCTACAAACCTGTCGCCAGTAATTGATCGTCGATACAGCTCCCGTTCGTCGGGATCGAGGCTGGATCTAAGCTCGTCCAGTTTCCGAGCGCCTGAGTACATGGCCAAAGTCCAGTCGGGCTGTTCGACAAACTCGCGAACACTGCTGATGGGTCGCACGACTCTGGGCACCGCCAGAAATGACATCAAGTTGGCTGTGTAGTTAATGAAGATGAGGATACCCAGGAACCAACCGATGATCGTCGCATTGCGGCCGGATAGCGACTGCGGCGTCTTGTGCCAGCCCTGGCCCAGCACGGTCAAGGCCATGGCGAACAAACACGAGCCCCATCCCATGTCGCGCACCAGCCGGCCGTCTTCGGCTCTGACACTGTTGAGCCTCAGCGAGAGGCGCAGCACCAGCGAGAGCGCCAGCAGTGTGGCAGCCAGCGTCCACCAGACGTCGGCGCCCAGCGGCCGCAGCAGGCCGGCGAACATCTCTGGAGACAGAGGCGGCGTCCCTGCTATGTCACGTCGAACAAAGAACGTGGGACTCCAGGAGTCGAAGGGCACACCATTTAGGAAGTCGACCGCGGCGGTCCTGTCGGGGGTGGTGCCCAGCCGCTGGAGCGCCAGGTCGGCGCGCCCGCCGACCAGGTCTCCAATCACCCCTATCCAGGGCCCAATCTTACCAATGCCGTAAATAGGATTTGGCAGCACTGGCCGGAGTTAACGGCACTGATATCAAAGATACCCTCTTTATTTGCATCCCGCTAATCTTGCCCAATGATTTTGCTGGCGTGAATGATTATGAATGTCGCCTGAACGAATGAATAAGTGAATGTGGAATAGTTCTGAATGTTACCAAATGCCGTGAATGCGCATTCACGGCATTTGGTAAGATTGGGCCCAGGTGCCGTTGCCATCCAGCGTGCCGAAGCCGTCCGTGAGTGGTGCCACCATCTCATAGCTGAGGCCCAGCTCTTCGGCCATGATCTGCCACAACTGGAACAGGACGTTGCTGTAGGCCAGCGAGCCGTCCGGCCGCTGCTCCACAGAGATGTAGGGCAAGCAGTTGACGGCGACAACGCGCAGGGGTCGGTCCGGAGACCATTCGGGTCCCGGTCCGGCGGACCAGCCTGGTCCCAGCAGAGCCAGACCTCCACGATGCTCCTCCATCGGTGCTGCGCTTGTGCACTCACCGCCACCTCTGGCGAACTCGGAACAAGTCGACCAAAATATCGGCCGACCCCTGCCGCATGGGTCGATGCTACCGCCCGCTAGCAGAATTTCACCGCTTCGTGTTCACCCTTTGATCCTCGTGAAGGCTGTGCGACGGCACTGTATGGGGCACTTACGGCGCATTCAAAAGTCTATGGGACACATCAGTTGTGCTTTGCAGCACCAACAAAAAACAACTGCAGAAGCATTTTCCAGAAAGACCCGTGCAAAAGTGAGCTTATGAACCAGGTGCCTGACGTTTGAGTTTGTCGGTGTCAACAGAACCGGCCGCGGGAATGTTCGATGCAGATACTAAGCTGCGCCGAAGAAATCCGAGGTCGTTGCGTTATGATTTATGTAGCATTGGTATCAGATATGCGAGTTATGCACGGCTCAGGAGAGGAGTTCAGTGGCAATGACGGATCAAATGCAGAGGCATGGGGCGCTGCGGAAAAAGTTTACTTAGTTTTCTTTATTTTTGAACAACACTTCCATACACAATTTCGTCGATCTCTGAGCTGCAGGAAGGGCGAACTTCGCTTAGTTCCGACTTAGTTCCCGTTAATCTACGAAAGACTCCGCTCGCTCCGCTCGTTCCGTAACGAGACTCCGCTCTCTTCGCTCGCCTCGTAATTACGGAGCGAGCGAAGCGAGCGGAATCTTTCCCATATAAAGGA